TTCCTATAATAACATAAGACAATGTTTTATCATCATTATTTATTATTACTAAAACTGTATTTTGTAGGTTTGAAATAAATTCTTATTTGCAAGTATGTGTTTCTGGTTACAAGGAGTTCATCAAACAATATCAAGCCAGTGATTTGGTTCAACAAAAATATTTAATCCCAAGCTGTCGCTCGAAATATAATGATCGTATTCGTCATGTAGCAGATAATCATGGGATATTAAGATCAGTAAAGACTCCCAAGAAAAAGAGTAAAATTATCCAAAACAAATAGTCCTGTAGAACCATGGGATGTCAGATGCTTTATTATTTTCTAGAAAACACAAAAACAAACTCGAGTCTAAAAAATTAAGTCGCCTACACCTGAAAACCTGGCCAAATTTAAGGAATACAAACGCCATTATAGATCAGTTATCAGGAGAGCAAGATTGGTTTATTTTGAAAATAAATTTGATGAATATTCTAACAATATGAAACAAACTTGGAATACAATAAAAGAGGTTATAAACTCAAAAAAACCTTAAGAGTCGATTCCAAGTTTATTCTTATACAATGGAAAAGTCTTTAATGGATTAGATGAAATTACTGAAGGTTTCAATACTTATTTTGTAAATATTGGCAATGAGTTAGCATCCGCTATTCCAAACTCCGATACATCTTTTAGTAGTTTTCTTGGAGATCCTTTTAATGAAAATTTTATTTTTGCAAATATTACCAATCAAAAAGTTTATGAAATTCTGAACCAACTTAAAAGTAAAAATAGTTCAGGAATAGATAATATCTCAACTAAACTACTGAAAGAAAATATGCCTTTTATTATTGATCTAGTGGTTCATGTATTCAACCTTTCTTTACGCTCAGGATACATACCAGACTCTTATAAATGTGCCAAAGTTATTCCTATTTTCCAATCAGGTTCCAAATCCGAATTTACAAATTACAGGCCTATAAGTCTTCTTTCTTCCTTTTCCAAACTTTTAGAAAAAATTATTGCACAACAGATATTCAGATATCTGAACAAGTTTAAGTTATTGCACAACAGATATTCAGATATCCGAACAAGTTTAAGTTACTCTACGATCATCCGTATGGATTTAGACCTGGGCATGATACCGAACAACCAATTTTACAAATTCTAGATAAAATATATTCTAGTCTAAATAAAACAGATAATCCTGAATATTTTACAGGCATATTTCTTGACCTGAAAAAGCACTTGATACGGTAGATCATGATATTTTACTAAATAAACTTGAACATTATGGATTTAGAGGGACAGCTAATACATGGTTCAGAAATTATCTAACAAATAGGAAACAATTTATCAGTATTTAGGGAACACAATCTACACAAAAATATATTAAAGTCGGGGTACCTCAAGGGTCGGTGTTAGGACCTCTTCTGTTTCTTTTATTTATAAATGATTTACCGAATGCAACTGATTTTTTACATCCCTGTTTGCGGATAATACAGGACTATTTATCTCAGACATAAGTCAATTTGATCTTATAGATTGATCCAATATTGAACTTAGTAAGGTAGCACTTTGGTTCAAAAATAGTAAATTAACATTAAACATAAAAGAACAAAGTACATAATGTTTAGGAAGAAAAGCATGAAGATATCTGCCACTTTACCAGATGTTAGGATTGGTGGAGTAGGAATTAATAGAATTGGAGAAGATTGTGAAGAAAAGTTTTTTAAATTTGTAGGATTACATTTAAATGAATATCTCACATGGGATTATCACCTTAGTAAACTAAATAAAAAGTTATCTAGTTCATACTTTGCTCTAAACAGCGTAACAAATATACTACCTTTAAAAATAAGAAAAAATATTTACAATACACTTTTTAAAAGTCACATGGAATTCGGAATAACATGTTGGGATGCTTCTAAGAATAAAAAAATCAAGAATATTCAAAATATTCAAAAAAAATGGCTATAAGAGCAGTTTCAAATTCAAGCTTCAATGCACATACAATTCCACTTTTTGGAAAACTAAATATTTTGAAACTGCATGATATTCTTCAATTGAAAGGTTCAATTTTTATGTACAAATACTTCAATGAACGACTTCCTGAATCGTTTAATAATATGTTTTGTGCTTTGTCTCATCAAAACCGAACAAAATGCTTAAGATTAGAAAGACTTATAGGAAAAGTATTAGAACAATTTCCTAAAGTTTTCCTACAGGGTGTCCCAAAAAACATGGGAATTCAGTGACGAATTCGATATCGTCTTTTGAAATAATTCTTCGATTTAGTATAGTGATACCTACTGAGAAAGCTGTAATCTGTAAGAGTTTCGTCTGCTAGGTTTACATTTTGTTTGTTTATGTTTTGACTGCAACCGGTTGTACTTAGTAAAACAAGAAAATTACAGTATACAAACAGAGTAAACTTGTCCGTATTCACTGTTCATCTTGCGGAGACATTATAGACATATCTTTGTAGTCTTTTACCCTTTTCATAAAATAAACTCTAGCAGACATAATAATATTATGGCTTTTGAAATTAGGTATTACAATGCTAATTCATAACAAAGACGATATCGAATTCGTCACTGAATTCCCATGTTTTTTTGGGACACCCTGTACCACAAATATGGAATCCTTTGTCGCTAGAAATAAAAAACTCGTGTTCTTTAAACTCGTTAAAAAATAAATTGCACGTAAATAAAACAAATATGTATCTGCAATTTGAATGTTCAAAATCAAACTGTTATTCATGTATTTCTGAATAAATAAATGTGCCATCCTTAGTTCTGAGCTAGCTGTTGATTCTGATTGAGCTAAATAACCCCCCCCCCCTCTCTCTTCCTAATACTTTCCCCCTACTTATTGGACGAAACACCTCCAATTGTATGATTTAAAAATTATATCATGCAATTACATCCAATGCTGGCTTGGCAAATCCCGTCATTAAAGTGTTAGTTTAAAGAATATATCTATGTAAAATTATGTACTAATGATAAATATATATCTATCTATCTATCTATCTAAATCCTTTCTCAAGAAGTGATCTGTCGTTCAAATAACATTCATTATTTAAGGTACAAAATAGTTATCAAAACTTCAATTGGAGATTACACAGAACTAGATTCATTAATTGTATTGCAGCTGTTTGATCCAGTTGATTATTATACCCGAAGAATTATTGAAATATATGCATTATGGGAGAAGATAATCGACGTTGAAGCGTGATTTCAATAATTATTCTTTAAGGATAAGATCGAATTCTAGACCTGACTTCAAACTTATTCAGGATTACAACATCAATGAAGAATTGCAGTCTTCAGTGTTTACAGAGCTGAAAACTTTACAATGATGGATATCACTGTTTTACTAAACCTGAGATTATTTTAATGCGCATTCGATATCCAAGAAAGAAGTATAAAATTCAACCAATCAGTGTATCATGTTAAGATGTATTCTTCAACTTTTGAAAAAACCGTTTTTTTCTGGTGTTAATTGTGTCATATCAATTGACCTAAACATTGATTAAATAAATGTAAGTTTTGGTCCTTTGGATTAATGTTTGCTAAGACTAACGTTTAAAATGATAATAGTCCTAAAATGTGATAAATATATTTTTTAATAAGTTCATATTAACATGACTAAAGAACCTGTAAAATCTTTCCCTGCAGGATGTTTAGAAGGATGAAAATTTTTTTTTGCATTTTTTTAAAAAACGTCCATAAACCTAAAAAAGTTTAATTTTGATAAAACTTTTTGTTCTGGGTGATTGAATATATTAATAGAAAACTTTCTTAAACCGACATGTTTGGTTTCTGTATCCCCTCCCTCCAGAATACCCCAGTAAAGCCCAGTACTTTGAAGTACATTGTAGTACCCTGTACCCTGAAGCACTCTGTACACCCTGTTACCATCACTTACCATAAAAAGATTTGGGAATTACAAATTGGTGTTTTTGCCATTCCTCCCTCCAATGAGTCATCAGCTGTTTAGTTTTTAACCATCAACAGAATCTCTTTTATACTGTTTTACACAAATGAAAAAAAATGCAAAACTAGAATAAAGTGCAGCCCAGAAAAGCTTCTATGTAAGTTCTAAATATTTTTGTTCAAAATAAAAATTTGGTTTGGCAACTTTTTTTGCATCCAAAAAAGAGGATTAAGAATAAAATCAAGTGTGTACATAGGATACTCAGATTAAGCGATCAGGATTAAGCGATCAGGATTAAGGATATCTCATTCTAAAGTTTTCAGCTTGTCTAATAAACCTTATCTTTAAGTCAATATCCACAATGAAAACTATAGTTACTTATAGTTTATCGAGTTTATCCATTCGGAGGAGAAATATTAAACTTGAACCAGACTTTTATATGTCTTTATATATTTTGCAACAGGTTTATATTTCAGAAATTAATAAACAGGAGAAGTTTTCAGGTGCAATCATCAAAAATGTAAAAAAATTACTGTAACTGTAAAATGACGTGTGTTGATATTTGATCGACTGCCAATATTTATGAAATTGAACTAAACTGTTCTACCCTCACTCTTCTTGAATACCACAAACTTGAAATGAAATTTGGTCTTTTGTTTTAAATAAACTCTTTTTTTAACGATAATGATTTTATCAGAAAGAGTATTTACTGAAGTATTTGTAGAGATTTTGAGCGAACTATTCATTTAAAAACTATGCAGTCAGAATATAATGCGTCCAATATCTTATTCAGTTATCTCAAAGCTGTAAAGCCAAAATACGCACAAAATCCTTATTTATACTTGATTTTCTGCATACAAATTGTTATTAGACGTTTACGAGTTTTTAAAAATGATTTAATGATGGTGTACTATTTGTGAAAACTGCACTCGATATTAGGATTCATAAAATTTGATTTATTCCTATAGTTACAGGTGATTGGGGGCCTGGGGGAACCCCCCCCCCCTAAAAATAACATATAACCCCAATTTGATTTTGGGGCTATTTACATCTACAGCTCCCTCGCAGCACTTGATTCTCTTAAAATTAATGAATCTAACATTTATTGAATAAATTAATCACAAGTTAATTATTCATAATTCGGCCTTAAAGAAATCATTGAGTTAAATAAAGGTTCTATATTTGTTGTGGAGTGTAATTAATCCTTGGACTGCATGTAGGAGATGAGATCAATCACCCTGTTGGAATATCCCATTTCATTGTCATACCAGGTGACCAGTTTTACAAAGTTATTGTTTAACTGGATTCCAGCTTTGGCGTCGAAGATGGAAGACCTGGCGTCTCCGATAAAGTCGGTAGAAACCAGATCCTCATCTGTGTATCCCAGGATACCCTTCATAGCTCCTTCAGAAGCTGCCTTGATAGTTGCACAGATCTCCTCGTAGGAAGCTCCCTTCTCCAACCTCACGGTCAGATCTACCACGGATACATCAGCAGTAGGGACGCGGAAAGCCATACCAGTTAGCTTACCGTTCAGCTCGGGAATAACTTTTCCGACAGCTTTAGCTGCTCCGGTAGAAGCTGGAATAATGTTCTGTGCAGCTCCTCGGCCTCCTCTCCAATCCTTCCCACTGGGTCCATCAACTGTCTTCTGAGTAGCAGTAGTAGCGTGGACAGTAGTCATCAAACCTTAATAATGTTTCATGATAATTATAAAGCTGAATTTTGAGTAGAATAATGTTAAAACTCACCTTCAAGGATTCCGTATTTATCATTGATAACCTTAGCCAGAGGAGCCAGACAGTTGGTGGTGCAGGATGCATTGGAAACAATCTGCAGGCTAGGATCATACTTCTCATGGTTTACTCCCATAACAAACATGGGAGCATCAGCAGAGGGAGCAGATATAACAACCTTCTTTGCTCCTCCCTTGGTGTGGGAAAGAGCTTTATCAATGGTGGTGAATACTCCAGTAGACTCAACTACATACTCAGCTCCAGCACTAGCCCAGTTAATGTTGACAGGGTCGCGCTCATTAAAGACGGTGATCTTGTTTCCGTTTACGTAAAGGAAGGTTCCGTCCTCCTTCACCTCTCCTTTAAACTGTCCGTGGGTGGAATCATACTTGAACATGTAAACCATGTAGTCCAAGGGGATGAAGGGGTCGTTGATCGCAACAACCTGGAAAATTAAATCAGTTTAAGGTCTATCTAAATTCTGAAAGAGGAAAGGGGGTTCAATAAATATGTGACACGAAGGAAAAACAGTTGTGGCACATGGCCGCCTGCATTTCCTCGCGATCGTATGGTAAATTGAAGAGGTTGACAGAGACACAAATTAAGTACTTTTCAAAGAGAAATCATAGAAACTTATAACAAGCATTCATATTTTCCTGAAGACTTCAATAAAACAACAATAGTCTGCATGTTTACATATAATGCATTATGCAAGAAACCATGAATGTAAGAATAATGACAAAATGTTTATTCTTGGTAGGTAACCCAGCCTTGTACAGTGATAACCAGGAAACTGTAGAATAGGAAAACGACAGTTAAGCATACTGAAGTGTATTTAATGTTGTTATAAAGCAAATAGCTTTAATAGTAAGTTATTAAATTACTTAATATGTGAAATGAATCTGTTTACACTGCACAATTGCTGTGCCTCTGTTCTTTCGATTATTTAAAGTCTTAACTTGTGTTTAAAGGTTTACTTCCTATAATTCCAGAGTTTTCTGGTTATCACTGTATATGAAATGTATAACGAGGATTTAGAATGGGACTCACTTGCCAAAAACTCTAATTTTCTAATCCCTATATTTTTGCAATATGATGTCGAAGACCTATAATATTTCAAACTATAAATTCTGATAAATCAAATAATCAAAGTTTGAAACATCAAAGGTCTATACCATCTGCAGTTTCAAAAATATAAAGATAAGAATATCAGAGTTTGAGACAGGTGTTCACTGCTCAATTTCTTTGTTCAAATTCACTTATCAACACAAAACGTTGCTAGTTATTTCAAAATGACGAGAAATAATATTTTTTGAGTGTTCAGAGTTATCCAATGTCTCCGGTTAAAGTGGCAACTTGCCAAAGAAAAAGTAAAAAACTCGTGATTCAAATTTACCCGTATATAACTGTACTGCAGCGAAGGGAGGGGTCTGATAAAATTTTGCTCGAGATGAAATAGGAAGAAGATTGAAAAAGGTCATGAAGGAGAATAAATGAAAATTACAAAAGATGAAAGAAAGGAGAAAGTGAGTATAAGTACAAACCTTGACATGGTAAGCGATATTATTCGGATTAGAAACATGATTCAGGAAAATAGAAGAGAATGAGGACGAAAGGAGAGGATGATGATTAAAGGAGAAAATAAGGGTGAACGCGTAGAATGAGCGGAGAAAATAAAGTTGAGAAGAGATAATGGAATAGGAGGAAATGGTAAGATTGAGAGGGGAGAATGAAGTAAAGAAGAGAAAATGTTAATGAGAGGAGAAAATGAGGATAAGAAGATAATGAGGATTAGAGAATGAGAAGATAAATGAGGATAAGAGAATGAGAAGATAAATGAGGATGAGAGAAATAGGAATGTGAGGAGAAAATGAGGATGAGAAGAGAGAAGAAAAATAAATATATGAGGCTTAGATGAAAAAAGAACTATGATGAGAGAAGAAAATGATAAGAGAGAAGATAATGAGGATGAAAGGAGAGAATGAGAAGAGATAATGAGAATGAGATAATGAGAATGAGATAATGAGAATGAGATGAAATAAAGAGAATAAAAAGAGATAATGAGAGTGAGAAGAGATAATGAGAATGCGAATAGATAGTGAGAATGAGAAAAGATAATGAGAATGCGAATAGATAGTGAGAGTGAGAAGAGATAATGAGAATGCGAATAGATAGTGAGAATGAGAAAAGATAATGAGAATGCGAATAGATAGTGAGAATGAGAAGAGATAATGAGAATGAGAAGAGATAATGAGGATGAGAAGGATAATGAGGATGAGAAGAGATAATGAGGATGAGAAGAGATAATGAGAATGAGAAAAATAATGAGGATGAGAAGAGATAATTAGAATGCAGAGATAATGAGAATAAGAAGATAAAATGAGGATGAGGAGAGATAATGAGAATGTGAAGAGAAAATAAGGATGAGAAGAGATAGTGAGAATGAGAAAAATAATAAAGATGAGAAGAGATAATTAGAATGCAGAGATAATGAGAATAAGAAGAGATAGTGAGAATGAGAAGAGATAATGAGAATGAGAAGAGAAAATAAGGATGAGAAGAGATAGTGAGAATGAGCAGAGATAATGAGGATGAGAAGAGATAATGAGAATGAGAAGAGATAATGAGAATGTGAAAAGAAAATAAGGATGAGAAGAGATAGTGAGAATGAGCAGAGATAATGAGAATGAGAAGAGACGATGAGGATGAGAATGAGAAGAGATGATGAGGATGAGAGGACATAATGAGAATGAGAGGAGATAATGAGAATGAGAAAAGAAAATGAGGATGAGAAGAGATAATGAGGATGAAAAGAGATAATGAGAATGAGAAGAGAAGAGAAAATTAGGATGAAAGGAGAGATTGTGAGTGCTAGAATAAAAGGTAACCGCCAAAAAAGTTTCCGAAAAAAAGTCCTAATATTTCTTACTAAAAAGTCCGGTGGCAAAAAAGTCATTTTACTAAAAAGTCTCCGGAAATAAAGTCCTATCACTTCGAGACTTGATTTCTGGCACCATGAATTTATTCAAAAATGTCCCCAGAAATAAGTCCTATTATACAACCATGCAAAAAAAGAGGCAATTAATATTAAAAACACACGGATGGCTATATTCAAAATACTGATCCATAAAGTCTTTTATACATGAAAACTTCTTACACTTTACATCATTTTCACAAAATTTAGGACTTATTTCCTGTAATCTTTTTTCCTGAGACTTAATTTGCAGCCCCCATACTACCATAAAAAAGTCCCAGGAATCAAAAACACAGGACTTTATTCCTAGTGACATTTTTTCCAAGGACTTCGAGAAAAGTCGGACTTTTTTCCAAAGTTTTTATTTCCAGAAACGGTTTCCCCGGACTTTCTTACTGTACATTCGAATAAAAATGAGAAAAAAGAAGGCATCGATATAGTAAACGACCGTGTCTGTTTAGAAATAAGACATTTATGTAAACTGAATTAACGAAAAAGAAAGAACGAATAGAAAAAAAGAAATTAAAAATTGAACTTACTGTAGCCCCCTTTTCTACTGCCGCCCTAAGGACCAAACGTCCGATTCTTCCAAATCCGTTAATTCCAATCTTAGACATAATGATGAGCTGGGTGGTTGAGTGTGACTGAACTGAATGTGGAAAGATCTACTCCGACCTCTACTTGTCCTAGACAACCTAGCAGAGCTTTCTTTATCCTCTACTAGTCTCACCACACACGTAAATGATGTAATAATATTAAAAATGAAATAAGGGATAAAATTAAAAATTAAAAACTACGATTTCTTCCTTATTTGGGCAAAAAACGTTTTGAAAATGAAGTTTAAATAGATTTAAGTGCAGTACTTCAGTGAACCTGTTGCTAACCGATGCTAAAGGTTGCATATCAACGGAACTAGGTTTTATCAGAAAATTAATCATCGACATTTTTACCGTTAGTAAAATTATAAGAAGTAAAAAAATAAGCTGACATTTTTTCAAGATTTTCCAATTTTGAAGTTAAGATATGCACAACAGGTTTGGTTAATGGTTAGGGAATTAAGTTGGAGTCCACAATTGGGTAGACGACATGTGCAATCCTTGAGTCTAGTTGATGTTGTTACAAAGCAAATCGGTTAAATAGTAACTTATAAAATCACTTTTAAATTGGTCTGTATACAGTTAAGTATACTGTAATTGCCGTGTTTCATGTTCATTGAACTATTTCATAATTTAAGTCTTAAAGTCGTCCTCCTATTCCAGAGTTTTCTGGTTTTCACTCTATTTATATACTTTGCTCGTCTGTTTGTTTGTCCTTTTGTATCCAATAAATGTCCAAACAGCTGAACCGACCGAACCCAACATTTTTAAGGCAACTCACATGGCCCAAGGGAAGTCTAAAACTAGTTGAAAATTTATGCGGAAAAAAAACTCGAAAATTATTTTTTTAATTCACCAGTTTAAAGCTTAGCTTTTATAAACTCTTATTTATATGGTTCATTTCATCCCATCCTGATCAAATACGGAGGGGGAAGAATTGACATTTAAACTTAAGTTTTGGTCTTAAATAGTCCTTTTTGTTGAGACACCACAATTGTGCAGTGATAACAGACCATTTTACTTGATAATATTTGTATACATATTTGCTTTGTAACAACATGAAATACACTTTAAATTTTGCTTCAATGTCGTCTCCATATTAGGGTTTCCACGAAACAGTCAATTCTCTTGCGCAACAGTTGCGTGGTTTTGCACGAAATTCCGCATCATTTTCGTATCAACACGAAACCAGGTTTACATTGCGCATTCATTTGAAATAAATAAATTTTTTTGCACGAAATTTTGCATGAATACGAAATTCAAGTCAGAATTTTTTCTTGATATTCGCATGAATACAGGTCATTTTTGTAATATTATAATAAGTGGCAGTATTGATAGTGAAAATATATAAAAATACAGTTAGTAAAACCAAAGCTTCGAGACACCTCCTGCAGTATGATACACCACATATTCCGGGTTCGGTAAACATAAGCTTTGATGCCTCCTAGTACCGATGATACAGCGCCTAGACTAGGTTCGGTAAACCTAAGCTCCGACGCCTTCTAGTACCGATGATTGCAGCGCTATAGACTAGGTTCGGTAAACCTAAGGTCTGACGACTTCTAGTACCGATCTGATACAGCACCTATTCTGAGTCGGCAAACCTAAGCTATGACGCCTCCTAGTACCCATGATATAGCGCCTATTCTAGGTTCGGTAAAACCTAAGCACCGACTCCTCCAAGTACCGATGATACAGCACATATCCCAAGCTGTTCAGTAGAGAGTCACGGGAGTCACGGAAAGGGAACGTGATATTTCACATACACCAGAATAGAAGGCAGAATCAACAGAAATAACAATGAAGAACCGCAACCGGGCCGGATTATTATACCCCACCCCGGAAATGTAATTTGTCGCTAAACATATAATATCAAATCCTGCAACTGCGATTTTTGCAGCATATTGTGAGGTTTGATGATCCATGTTACAATTGAAAAGGTATTTAATAAAAACTTCAGCACCAAGAAAGTCCTTGAAAATCATATAATTACTTACATTTAACTTGCTGTAGACATGAACAAGGGCGTATACTGAAATAAATCTAGGGGGGAGGGAAATTTGAACTGAAAATTCAAAACATTTCTTCTTGGTTAACAGGCATAAAGTATAAGATACTTTAAATGTACACATAAAGTCCAATTACCTTGCATGTACATACTTTATCTTCCCTTCAAACAAAACTAGCAGAAAAAAGCATTGTTTCTAAAAAAATCGACATTTTATTATACTGTTATGTTCGTAATAATTAGTATTTAACTATAAGAGATAAAAGACATTTTTGAAATTGAAAAACTCAACTTAAACTTTAATTCTATGACCTGAAAAAAAGGACAATGGTACCGAAAATAATTAAGACTCATAAAAGTTTCTGTTTTGAAAAAAAGTAGGAGTTTAGTTGAAATCTATATAATAAAGCTCTTCGTTCATTGTTTGGTGGCCAAACGGCTGAATCAAATGGGCTGATTTTTTTTGAGGAAACTCATGGATAGATACCCTTGGGAATGACATAAGCTAAATAAATTACAAGTTTTTTGTTTTAATTCGATTTTTCAAATTCCAAGGGCAACTCCTGGCACTTCAGCTAATTTGTAATAAAAAGAAAAATTACAAAAAAATGGTCTTTTACTACCTCCAAACTCAAGCCTTCGTGGCTTGGCATTTAAAAATAACTGTTTTACTTCGCTAGCCCTTCTAGCGCCCATAGTTTTTAAAAACTATCGTTTCGTTTTCTATTTTTCGTCATCGTTTTCATAACGATCAACGATCGTTTTTCAAAACAATGAAAACGTTAACATCCCTATTTTTCAAAAGTTAAAGAGTACATCTTAACATGATACATGATACAAAAAAGAGGATTAAGAATAAAATCAAACGTGTGTGTGTACATTGGATACTCAGATTAAGCGATCAGGATTAAGGATATCTCATTCTAAAGTTTAATCAGCTCAAGTTCAATCGATATAGCATTGCATCTGTAATTGTTATCAAACGTAACTTTTATACAGTAGGGATATCCAAAAAAGAGGATTAAGAATAAAATCTTAAGTGTGTACATTAGGTACTCAGATTAAGCGATCAGGATTAAGGATATCTCATTCTAAAGTTTTCAGCACTGTATAGTTCTGTACTCTTCACGCTGACATGGAAGGGTAGGGTTCAAGTATACTCTATGATATACATGTGGAAGGGAAGGGTTCAGGTATATTCTATATATCCAGGTGGAAGGGTAGGGTTCAGATATACTCTAGATATCCAGGTGGAAGGGTTCAAGTATAGTCCAGATATCCAGCTGGAAGGGAAGGGTTCAGGTATACTCTAGATATCCATGTGGAAGGGTAGGGTTCAGATAAACTCTTTAGATCCAGGTGGAAGGGTTGGGTTCAGATATACTTCATATAAATCCAGGTGGAGGTGTAGGGTTCAAGTAAACTCTATATATTTAGGTGGAAGGGTAGGGTTCAGGTATACTCTAGATATCCAGGTGGAAGCCGGTAGGGTTAAGGTATACTCTAGATATCCAGGTGGAAGGGTTTAGGTATAATCAAGTATAATAATAGAAGGGTCAGGTTCATAAATACATATATATATCCAGGTGGAAGGTCAGGGTTCGAGTATACTCTATATATCCAGGTGGAAGGGTAGGGTTCAGGTATACTCTAGATATCCAGGTGGAAGGGTAGGTTTCTGATATACTCTAGATATTCAGGTGGAAGGGTAAGGTTCAGGTTTACTCATTAAATCCAGGTGGAAGCCGGTAGGGTTAAGGTATACTCTAGATATCCAGGTGGAAGGGTTCAGGTACAGAGCGTCCCAAATCATATTAGATTATCTCCACGCTTTTAATATTTTGATAAGCTTATCCTTTTCCCATGCGTGAGATTGATGATTCTAAACCATCGTATACAGCAAAAAGTATCATGGAGACAAACTGAAATTATACATAAAATGGAATGTTTTTACTCATCCTCAAGCTTGCAGGGGAGTTTTTTTTCGAATTTTAGTTTTGGGAAAACTGAAGATTTTAATGCATAAGATTTTCTTGATCTTTACAGGCATTTACATCCTTTGCTTTCCCTGTATGTATATAAGTATTGGCTTATATTTACATCCTTTGCTTTCCCTGTATGTATAAGTATTGGCTTATATTTACATCCTTTGCTATCCCTGTATGTATATAAGTATTGGCTTATATTCGTGATTCAAAAATTGTCAGTAAAACATATATTTAATTCAAATCTCTACATCTTATACTTCCGTTTTTATAATGCAAATACGTCCCACGAAACATGACAGTTGGTGAATAGTTTAAAATGTCTTCTTCCATAATTTACAAGTTATTTGATACTAAAGAGACTAATAACATTTTTTATATGACAGTTGTATTATATAGTAATATTGATTTTACAGTAAAATATATATAATAATATATACGACTTAAACATTTTTTTAAAGAAATAAACTTAATATCTGATACAGTATATGGAAGAAGACATTCACCAACTGTCATGTTTCGTAGGACATCCTGTAGCTTCTCAAACACTTAAGCGAAAGAAAACATAATGCAAAACAGGCAAATAATTTATCTAAATAAACTCTAATGTGTGACAGGATAAATTTCTAGTTTTTTAATTCTTATTCATTAATTTTGAATTTAACTCTCTTTGAGTTCAGGTCAAAAATATTGTTTGCCTGCGCCGCGACTAAAATTCCAATCGCAATTTCGTTGCGCGGAATTGCACGCAACTGTGCGGAATTTTGAGCAATTGTTCTCGAATTGCGTGAAATTGATAGGATTGCGCGCAAGCAAAATCCACTTGCATTGGATCAACCCTATAGCCACGATCCTCAATTACCGTACTTAGCATTTCAAATATTTGTGCCCCCTCCCCATATCACCCTCCTATACAAATTCCTAGTTACGGGCCTGAAGAAGACACAGCACACGATTTTTTCGTCAGACTACACCTTTTCTACATCCGGCCTTTTATAAATTCCGGAGACGTCATATTGTAGTAATGTTACTTCTATTACATTGTCTTTACGCAACATCCCCCCCTACTGAACTTCCGACCTACTGCAATATCGGACCTACGCCAGCTGTTTATTTTTGTATTATTTGTGAGTTAGGTTATATAGGTTAAGACAATTTCTGGGCCGAGCGCTGTGCCTAGGTCATTGGAGCCTTCTGACCGGCTCGCTAGTAGTCGGCAGTTACATTATGGGTCAACTCTAATGTCAGAATGCTCCAATGTCTATTTTGACCTCGGAAATGAAATCCTTGTCCCAATTTTTCTATAGTTTGATGTATCTCATGCTAGTTTTATTCTAACCTAGCAAAACTTAGCAATAAGTATTTCAAGATATTTTCTTTTATTGCACGCGCGCGCGAACATTTCAGGCTTTGGAGGTGAATATTTTGAGCGTACATATGTTTCAAGAGCTTGCCAGGATAAATGTTCTTGTGCAACTAATGAGGTTAAGATTGATTTACTGTCGTATTTTTTCACAAAAAGCGCGCGTGCAGCGCACTTTTGCTCAGATCCGTTTAAAACCAAAAACTGCATGTAAAATACATAATTTAAGCTCGCATGCAAAAATCAGCCTCCTACAACATGTAAAATTTGTGCTAAGATGACACATAATGAAACAGCCGGCTACTAGCGCGCCAGTCAAAATGCTCTAATATTTATTTTGACCCCAGAAATGAATTCCTCGTGCCCAATTACCTATAAATCGACATATTACATGTAAAATCTGTGATAAGATGACCCATGATGTAACTGCCGGCTACTAGCGCCGGTCAGCAGGCTCCATTGTCTATTTTGACCATGGAAATGAGTATCTTGTCCCAATTTTGCTATAGTTTGATGTATCTTATGCTACTTTCATTCTGACTTAGGTCAAACTTAGCAAATAAGTAATCAAAGATATTTTCTTTCCATTTAATTTTTATGCGGATCCTTCCTGGATCCGCACTGAAAAAAATGGATCCGGGTCACTTTAAGATTTACTGAATTTTATAACATAGAATATTTTTCGCTTATTTTTATTCTAAAACTTGACGAACCATTTAGAAATGAGGAAATTTTTACTCTTTTTTGGGTTTTAGGAGTAAAAAAGTTGTTTTTGCAGTTTTTGGTTGATATTTTACCCCTTGAATCCGGATCCGTGGATCCGCATATTTTTGCGGATCCGGATCCAGGAAGCCAAACTCTTGCGGATTCAACGGATCCGGATCCTAAGCACTGTTTTCTTTAAGCGCATATTTTTTTCAAGAGTATCAGGATAAATGTTCAAGTGCAATTAATGAAGTTAAAATTGATTTACTGTAAAAAAATCGTATTTTTTCACAAAAAGGGCGCGAGCGCACTTTAGCTCAGATTCGTTTAAAACCAAAAAATGCATGTTATATACATAATTTTAAGCTCGCATGCAAAAAATCAGCCTCCTAGGACAATGCTAAGGTTATGTTTATACCCCCCCCCCTGATTTCAAAGTAGAATGAAGACGATAAACTATATAATCGCTAGAAATGAAGTAATTATTATTATATACTTTTAATTAAAAATAACTTACGATGATACAAAAAAAATAAAAGGCGGTAAAACTTGCAAATTCAAAATATCATTCTAATTCAAAGTTTTAATTACTTACGTGTGTTTGTGTAGATACAGGGTGTCCCATAACATGACAATTGCGACGACTTGAAAGTCGTCTTTGATATTTGAATTTATTTGTGACATTTAGTCTTCTATTACTTTAACATGCATTATTCTTGAAACAATTATCACATAATTCTCCTAGCCCTGGCATTTCCAAAAAGTGGTCTGCGTTTTTTGTGCTTTCAATATTACCGGAGATATAAAGATTTCAATTTTGTTAAATAAAAGCAAAATTGTCGAAATCTGAACGAAATTCTTCATATCTCTGGCAATATGGAAAGCACAAAAAAGGCAGACCCCATTTGGGAAATGGCAGGACTAGGGGAATTTTGTGATTATTATCTCTAGAAATTTACTTTTAAAATTAGGTTGACAAATAAACGCAGCAAATTATATCAAAAATCAAGACGACAACCAAGTCGTCTTGCATACTGTCATGTTTCGTGGGACACCCTGTATAATAATTACAGCGTAGGCCGTACTTTAAAAGGGGACACAGTAAAAATGATATTTTGGAGTAAAACTGCCCTTTAATGACGGGAATTAAAAAAGTGGTGGACTACATTAAAAAAATGTTATTGCATTTTCATGAAAAATATCATTGAAATACTAAAAACATTGTGTGTTGTTGCGTAGGTCCATTTTAAAGTTTTAGCTTAAAAAAGGAATACAAAATAAACATATACTAGGGCCGTGAATAAGATCAAAATTGCATTTATTAGTAATACTCGTTTGATCCTGTGCCATATGTTGGAAAAAATTCAAAAATCATGCGATTTCCCCCAGATTAACACAATTTTTTTGCTCCTTAAACATAAAATTGAGATTTTTCGAAAAAAAGGTTTTATAGTGGATGTACAAGCCAAATAGGTTTTTGAATGTTCAATTCCTGGACGTGAGACAAAGCTAGGGAGCCTTTCAGTATGGAACTCGTACGATTATGATTAGCTAGGAACGAGGGGCTCATGGACGCACTACACCCCCTGCCCATAGCTCACGACAGACAAAAGTATAGTGGCATTGCAGGGAAAACGGTTGCGGCTTTTAAAGAAATTATACAATTTAAATTAATTCTTGCCGAATCTACAATCAGTTTAATTAAAAATTAAATTGTTTATTATGTGTTATTGTTGAACAACAAAAAAAGTACATATAAGAAGAAATGGGCACACTAGTTTCTTTTTCATATCGTTCCTGACAACCCATTTCATTAACTTCTACAATTATTAAAAAAAAATTTCGTTCGTTTTCAAACTTATCGTTCATTTTTCATATATTTCTCATAGAACGATTGTTTAGTATTGTTCGTTCGGTTAAAAAGATATTTTCATTCAGTAGAGGTTTTACTCAATATTAAATATGGTTCGTTCAGTAAAAAAAGGCATTAATTCGTTGGAAAATCAGTCTGAATAACATTAACAAACATGTTTTTATCCATCCCGTTTCGTTCCTCCATCTCCTCCATCGCTGCGTTTTCTTTCCACGAAACTGTAAATAAATCAAATAACCAAACTCATCTCTGAACACAAAAATACACTGGATTTACAACTGGGAAAACAAAGATGTCCAAAATATAGTTGACAATGGATCAAAATTACAGCTCAAACACGAAATTTTCTTTCACACTTAATGAAACTCGGTTCCAGAAGAATTTTATTCAATGCACTGAACTCGTGAAGGGATTTCGTATGCTATCTTTGAAGTATATTTTGAAAATACCTAGGCGAATGGTTACTCAACAGAATCTGCAAAGATTGAAGTAAGTAGTTGCACATTATTTTATCAAATTTTCACAACGCAAATATAAATATACAAATATTATACACACTTAACTTCAGTAAAATACAAAAAATCAGCCTAGCTCAAAACTTTGCAAAATTACTTTTGTCTTTAGACATTTTGAAAAATTTCCTAACACTAGTTAAAATCTGAACTAAGGTGACCCGAGGTTAATCGGACACCTCAAAAAACGATAATCTGTTGGAAACAGTAGAACTTCTGCATCATATAATGAATTTTTCTCTCTACTCAATAATTAAGAAAGGGGAATTGATATGTAGTAGCCAAACCTTGCTTACAATTACTCAAGTGGAGATGAAATTATTAAATGTATAATTTCCCTTTTTATATTCAATAATTGGCGATCAAAATAATTAAAACGAGAAGTAGGTTTAAATCTTTATTTGCATTAAGAAAAATTTGGTGGAAACCGGAGAACCCGGAGTAAAACCACCAGCCTGCAGTTCCAAGTTGGCATCTCGGCAATTCCAAGTCGGTATCTCAGTGCTTCAGCAACCCAGGCTAAACATTTCTATGTTAAATAATGTTCTCGAACAGTATCAATATAGTGGACAGAACACAGGGAAAAAAGTTTTGATCTTAACAATTATGATTTCAGATCATTACAGAGAATGAATTACATAATTACATAATAACTAAGACTCTTACTCCCCCTACCCCCGAGCCTGAAATTTAAAAGAGTATCGTTGAACGAAACTTCCGAGTTTCCTTTTTGGGGTCTTATTCTTTGTGTAGATTTTGATCTAAGAGATTTGACAAAAATGGTAAGATATAAAGGATTAAATAAAATAATATTTCAAAACAAAAATATCGATATCTACAAAACTGGGTTAACCCATTTGTGAAACCCGGGTTCCAAAACTGGTTTTCATAACGATACCCTGTCTTAAGTTTTGGGCTCCGAGCTTGTAATTTAAAAGAGTATCGTAGAACGAAACTCCCGAGTTTCCTTTTTGGGGTCTTAACATTTGCGTAGATTTCTTTTAAGAGATTCGAAAAAAATTGAGAATATAAACAAACTGAATTGAATAATATTTCAAAACAAAAATATCTACTTTCACAAAATTGCCTAATCCCATTCATGAAACCCGGGTTTTAAAACTGGTTTTAACAACGATACCCTGCCTTAAGTTTTGGGTTCCGTTGGCGCGATAATAAACCTTGAACTTCAATAGGAAGGTTTAAAACTTTTCATTAACCCATACTCGGCAAATAAAATCCTTAAAAAAACATTCCACACCACTGAGAAGGGTATGCCCCCCTCCCCTTGGGTGCGATTGTAAACTTTGAACTTATAAACTTTGAACTTCAATAGGAAGGTTTAAAACTTCTTTTATTAACCCATTATCAGCAATTATAATAATCCTTAAAAAACATTCCACACCACTGGAAAGAGAAAGGGGGTAAGAAAAAATTAATTAAGCAGCTATGAAAAAAGTCAGTTGACAGGAACAATGCTAAAAAAGAAAAATGAGAATAAGCGTTTGCTTTCCATCATTAATAAAATGAAGTAGCTATAATATTAGAAAGCTTCAAATGTTTATTTGAGATCTATCATGTACATTTGAGACAACTTATTATGAATTTCTGGCTTAATGGGCACAATTCGAGCGAAATTATGTAAATGTGGAAAGTTTAATGTGTTTTAAAGTTTGGTATAATTACCTTTTTGATTGTTGCCTTCATCTCAAGTAGTAATCTAGGATCAGCAGGTAAGAACTCGGGACCAACAGGTATGAACTCGGGTGAGTCCTGAGTATGCACCAATCTTCTGCTTCCAGTCTCTCTTCAAGGAACTTAAAAAAAAACAGAAAAACGGAAAGACGGCTGGCTCAGGGAAATAGGAAGGCCTTTCCCTTTCATTTCTCTAACCATGCCCGTCATGATAAAAAATGAAACAGATCTGGGCCCAACAAAGGAGCTCGCCAGACCTGTTAAGTCTTCTGCAACCAGGTCTTCTTTGTTAAAGGTCCTTCTTCTGCTTCCAGTCTTCTTTCTTCGGTCGACATCATGACATGACCAGGGGGATGAAAAAAATATTAAGTACGCTAAACCGCACAGACACAATTTAACCAGCTTGTCAGCTTACAGGTTAACACGAGTTGATCAGACGGATCAAAGTAGGGAGACTCACACTTATCAAAGGATCCAAGCATCTTAAAAACTGGACAGGAAAACTCGAAATTAGGTCACATCTTCAGAGGAAGTAGTATAATTTAAATTCTACGCATTATTCTCGTTTAACGTCTCTTACTAGAGACATCTATCAGTGAGGCCTTTAAGTGGTTTTACTGCGGCTAGATATTGAAATTGAAGTGAAGAGCTATCTCTCAATCTTTGATGAAATAGTTTCCGGTCTCAAGGGGATCATTTCTGCCCGCCCAAAGGTTGGATTGTTCCTCTTTGCCCCATTAGTACAAGACACCCAGGTTCAGAGAAGCTGCAAATGCGCACTCCACGTCTGGTAAGGCTATAGAAAAAAATATAGATAGCATTTAAGAAATTTTTAAAGAATAATTTTTTAAAGACGTTTTATTTTTGACAGGAAAATATGAATTCTTACTTAATCCAGGTGCTAGAATAAAATACTTATGATCGTGAACAGGGATTTGTCAACTTTCTCTCTCTGAAGTACTTTCTCAAAGCGCAACTGATCCTCAATCTCGGACTCGCCGGATTATCCCAACCTTAACTAAAAGATACCACCCCGCAGTACTACCATATTATTTTAAGAACCATTTGAGTACTTAATTTTAAAATAAAAGTAAACTTACTAGGTCCCGGCCCTTACGGAGCTCACAGGACGAAGATTGCTTCATTACTACCAAGTACCACGTAACCACATTCACTCTAACAGGTCAATTTCCTACATCAAAATTAAAGAAAACTGCTAAGTGTCGAATTTTAAAGTTTGAGTAAACTAAAATCGTTAAGTACCAGGCTAGGACAAAACTAATAGCTTACTATACACCCGGCCCAAGTGGAGCTCACAGGACGAGGTTGTGACCCGACAGTATACTTCATCCTTGATGATCAGTTCAGGTTTCGGATTAACTTAACAAAACAAACAAATCCACAAACATGTGAATTTTAGGTTGCAAAATTATTGGATTAAGAAAATAGATGTCTGACGGATAATTTGAAAAAATTAAGGAATACAAAAGAACCATAAAAAGAAGATCCACTTACTATGGTCCCGGCCCATATGGAGCTCACGGGACGAAGATATGTCCTGCAGTACTCAGTTCTCGTACAGGTTACAGATTTACTAGAAGCAAACACTCCAAATTTAACTTAATTATTCACAACTTGATGGTTGGCTAATATAAATAGGAGGTTCAAAATGCACTGGGAATTTAACTTACTATGGTCCCGGCCCATACGGAGCTCACAGGACGAGGGTGAATTCAGGAATCTGTAGTCCTAGAACCGCGCACACGAGTACGACAGGTTTCAGTTTTCAACACTAAATCAAGAATTAATTCCCGAAGGAAATATGTACACTACTTTTCACAATAACTAAGACAATTTAGGATTTAGCTTACTTGAATCCCGGCCCTTACGGAGCTCTCGAGATTAGGAAATCCTTGGCAGTATCTGTTCTGTTGGTTCGTCCTGCCGTCGCTTTAACTAAATAATTAAACACAAACTTCGATAGTTTGACAGAAAAGGGTTAATTTTAAGAATTAATAAAAATTAACCCGAATTTTCCTAATTGACAGTACATGATCCAGATTGGAAAAAGATTAAAATGAGAACTTTTAATAATAAATGGTCTGTTTAAATAACCAAATGCATCAAAAGTTTTCAATTTATAAAATTAAAGGCAACTCGGCCCATATGGAGCTCACAAGTTCCAATGATAATCGGGTCATCCTAAGGTAGTTTTAATTCCTGTCGAATACACAGCTAATATGAATATTTTAATTAGTGTATATTTCTTATAGTTCTAGAAAAAAAATTTAAATAGAGAATCAATTGTAACTACGTGCTAAAGTTTGAAGAATAAAAAATTAATCCATATCCTTTAGTTTCCAGAGAGACATCTTCTATCACTTCATGATGGAGATGTGTATGTATTTAAGTGAGTTTTTTATTTATATTTAGGTAACATGTTCCAAAATTAAGACAATTTAATGTTGAAAGTATTAGTTTCAATACACAACTTTTCAGAGTAACTGTATGCCAATTAAATGTTTTTTAATATTAACTTCAATACATATCCTGACTGTTACGAATGGTGAGAACTTACAGAGTAACTGTATAAAGTGGCCTACCTAACAGGTTAACCTAGAATATATCCTTTAAAAAAGGATAACTCACTTGTTACCTTTACCAAAGAGAAGGAACGTAAGATAGGAATGAGGAACGCTAACCGGGGTAAGAAACTCAGTCTATTGTGGGCCCATGTGGAGCTCACCACAATTCTGAAAAAGATATTACCAAAATATCCTATTTTCAAGAAATAAATAACACCTGAATTCTTCTACAGTTTGAGGTTTTAATAATCTTAAACCAGGGCTCTCAGCTAGTCAAACAGAAAAGAAAACCTTGCATTTTACAGCCTTCCACACAAAAAGAAAGCCATTCATTGTGCTGAGCATTTAGCGTGGGCCCATATGGAGCTCACCACACTTCTGAAACAGAATTATTCATCCATACTCTGACCCCCCCCCCCATTTAAGTAAAAATTCTTAAATAAATATAGCTCGACCAACCTCTCTAGTCTTGACGGTGTCGCTACTTCAACTCAATCCGAAATCATCTAAGTGTGGGCCCTTATGGAGCTCACCACACTTCTGAAAAACAGTTAGTCCCCCTCCGGAATTAAAACAATAAAAAAAACTTTGAAACAGAAAAAACCTAAAGATTGGGATCTTTTTTCTTTACCAGTCTGGTCTCAGAGGATTCAGAGATTTAAGTATGGGCCCATGTGGAGCTCGCCACACGGCTAAAACAGAATTATCCAACCAATGCGAAACAATTTAATAAAATTTCAATTATGAAATAGCGTTAGGTTGGACAAAAAATGTTAAATGTTCTATAGAAAAGTAAATAAAAATTGGGATTTATTAAAATACCTTAGATTTGAGCTGCCGATTCGGGAAAAAATGTGACTAGTGTGGGCCCGTAAGGAGCTCACCACACGTCTGAAAAAACAGTTAAGACCCATACAAATCATGCATGTAAAACCATGGAAGAATCGTGAAAGTTTCTTGAATGCTTTTTATGAATTTTACCTCAGTAGTTCATGAATAGAGCTAGTTACGCACAGAATTAGTTTTCTAAAATACTTAAAATCTAGAAATATGGTCACTTAATATCATTTGACACTTGCTAGTCTACTTTGGTTCTTTTTAGATCATTTTTTTCTAATTCACAAGCATTCAAAATACAGGTATAAACTAGATTTATATCTTGGTTGATAGGAGGTCACCACTAAGCAAACTAAAATGGTTGTCAACTTCATTTGATTTATATCTTGAGGCTTTCCTAGTTGATTATCTTGCTTTTCTACCAAAATCAGAATTCTTACTAACCTCTCTTTTTATCAAAATTGTAGTAAGGCTCTAAAGAGCAGCTTTTTATCTTGATTGCTGGGATTTAGGGTGATATATATATATTTATATATCGGTTTCAACTATGCTCTTTAAGGTAAAATATTCAACTGTGTGTCCTATCAACCTAAAAACTAATTTTTAGTAATTTAACTTAGTTACCATTTAGATGTAAAATAAGATTTGTAACTTGAGCCTTCCAGGTGGTCAGCAGCCTATTGATTTTTAGCTTGGTTTTCTACACGAACAAAAGTAGTCTCAACTGACCTTAATATGAATTTAAAACAGGACGCTTATAGGAAGTCTTCATTACCTTGCTTGAAAAATACGGCTTTGAACTGACAACGTGGAAGATCAATGATTTAGCCAGACTTCAGGTTCTATCACCATGCTCTAAAACTCGAGTTGAAACACTTTTCGTCTTTTGTGTTGATAATGATATGTAGAGTTCCATCTGGCTTAGCACTACATAAATTGATGTAAATTAAACTTTTCTGGTCTCATTAGCAAGTTTATTTTTCTATCTTCAGATTTCCGCCCACTACATATTTGTTTCAATGTACTTCAATCTATGTGCAATAACAACAAGCAACTTAAATCTTCATTCAATAGCAAGGGCTGAATAAAACCAGATTGGGCACAAATAGATTTATATCTTGATTAATAAAATATTTTAACAACATTGACAGGGAAATATGGAACATTTTACCAAAAAAGTTCTGTAGAGCCACGGTGATTTTTATCTTGGTGTCTTAATAGTTAGTGCCGTGGCCACTACAGAAGCAGTATAGTTAAAACCATATAAAACAAAAACATGTAGTCGTGAAAGACTACCGTTACAAAACTAATTTATTTAACATAAAACTTTACTTGCATGGATATTGAAATGTGCTTGATTTATATCTTGATTGCTAGAGATAATTTCACAAAAAGTGTGAAATTACCACCCCGCATATGTACCATGCATTAACCATGACAAATTACAGACATATAAAACTATTTACAAAGTTGAAATTTAAGCATTAAAATTTAGGGAGGTAAAACAAGTGCTGCTTATTATTTTTATTTAAGATTATTGAAATGTTAAGACTAAGACATAAAATGTTAAATGCTGTCGAGAGGAAGATTTATATCTTGATCATGGGAAGGAAGCATTAAGTGTACTTTTGATGCATGTTTTGTGATTAGTTTTAGTTGTACAACCAAACCCTCATGTCTTGTATGGATCATGTTACATACGGAAACTTCAAAAAAAAACTGAATACTTCCACATTAAACTATTTCACGAGAACCAAGGCCTTAACAGACGGAAAGCATCTTAAAGGCGTGTACCCCCAACCCTTAATATTAATCATGCACAAGAGGGGAAGGACTTCAAAAGGATACTCCATTTAATGATTAAACTGCTTTAGTGTGAACTAATAGTTACATTTCAGGTTGTGTAGAAGAGAATACATGTCAAAAATAATATGATTTATATCTTGAGGTGCATGAAGTCTTGGCGAAAATACAAGTTAGTTAGAAAAGACGAAATAGTATGATCAAGCATACAGCTAATTGGCCGCATTATTGATTTATATCTTGATTTTGTTTCTGCAGCCGCACGGCACACAATAGACTAGCAAAATTTCTATTTCTAATAGCTGGCTATGCCTCATGCAATTAAAAACTTAGCCGCCTTTTATAAACAATAGCAAGGGTGGGGGGAAGTAATTTACTTGTGAAAATGTACATTCCTTGCCCTAGCTGAAGTGCTTCAAAATTTAATTTTCTACAAGGTTAACCTTTTCCGAATTGCAAGGAAGGCACAAAAATAGGGCATTATGTGCTAAGTTAAAACAAACAAATAACATGAGTGCATTTAGCCGAACTCTTTCAAAGTATTAAAAAGTCCCCTAACCAAACAAATTTCACAAAAAAATGTTAACGTGCCGTGAATGAGTATGAATCCCCAAAACATGGCGAAACTAAGATTTCACAACATTAAAATACCATACAGAGCTTTATATCTTGAGATCTAATCGTATATATTCCAACCTATATGTAAATAAAATCCGCAAGATACAAGATTTAGAATGATAGGTAAAGATACCTGACCAGAACAAAGTACAGGATGAAGTAGTTTAGGGATCAGAGGGTGAGAAGACTGGTTTTACTTAAGATTTCTATCTTGATCAGTTGCCTATAGTATGGTTATAAGAGCCATAAAGAGGCTTTAAAATCTTAACTCATCGGTAGTAAAGTTGATTTATATCTTGAACGAGCAGATGTAGAAAGCAATTAGCTTGTAGCTTGCGGCCTTAAAAAATAAATAGAGGAAAGAATAGGAAACTGTATACATGAGTATATATTTAGAGGTTGCACAAGGAAAAATTTTGAGATTAGCAAGAAATCCAACAATAATGAAAGCTAGTAACAACCAATTACACTTTCTACAGTGAACATGGACCAGATTTAGGTTTCATAGGCTAAAAGAGACCTAAAGAGGATTCATGTTACCTTCTGGTCTTTGAGCCTGAAACGGCGTGGTTACCCTGAGACAAGAGTCTGTCCTTGCAGGTATCCCCGCTCTCACGACAAATGAAGCTGAAATTATAGATATTTAATAAACAAAAATAAATGTAATATATGTATTTACTCAATATGAAATATTATTAAGATAATTCACAGCCATATTGAAAAATTTTAAATTAAGCTTTACAACGCTTCCGTGCATTACTAAGATCGTCCTCCGGTTTCCGTTTCACATTTGAAGATAATGAAGCTAAAAATTTATCTACGCTCATGGAATCCTCGTCCTCGTTGCTGATACAGTCTGAAGACATCGGCATAGGTCTAAAAATCACATTACAGTAGCATTTGCCATAGGTTTGCCTCTGATAACGCTTACAAAGAATACATGTCAAACAATCGCACGAGTTGTCAACCTCTAACTTGAGCTGCTTTGAAACTTTGAGCATTTTCCATTTCTCCAAACGCTCCTGTTGTAAATCTCGTAAAGCTTTCTGGGCAGCCTGTCTCGCACTCTCCAAAAGAACCTCTTTCCTTAAATCCCGTTCTTTCCTACCCCGAACAGCGTTCTTTTTCTGATTTACTTTCGATATCCAAGTGAGAAGTTCGTCTGTTTGTCCTTGAGGTATTTTTGAATTAGCTAAAAACCTGTCCCAAGGAATTGGCTTAATCAAAGTAGGTAACTCACAATCCGCAATAGTCATCTCGTACAAATTATCTGCAGGCCGAATAGAAAACACAGTATTGAATTAAGATATGATCAGTACCTGTGTCAGATTCACCGATTAGATCAGGGATCTGCTAGAGCCCCTTAATAAAGCTATTAGTCTGAAAAACGTTTTGAGCACGATTCACTGACACGGCCTCACTTGTCGAAGGTTTCTGACTCAATGACAAAGACTATACCTCCGCCAATGTATTTATAGTAGCGTGCGGATTCTCCTCCGCTGCACGTGAGTAAGAAAATAGTTCTTAATATAAACTCAAAAATTAAGGATTATATAACCCTAAAGACAGAAAATTCTTAATTTTAATTTGAATGATAATCTAAATTTTAATCTAAAAGATTTAAAACACCGATTTTATCATTAAAATAGATTTCGTAACAATTCGTTAGAAAGTTCGGGGCTACGGGGGAGGCAAGCTTGCATTAAACAGAAGTTTGGCGGGAGGCAAGCTTCTATCTACCTCCCTTGACTATTCCATTCCAAATCATAAAACGTTTTGGAAGATTTGTAGCGTCGTTTTCATAAAGGAAAAGAAAGACCGAACTATATACTATTTAATAAATTTAGATTCCACCGTATAAACCATCGATGTGTATTTTAATTCAAATTTTAGGGTTTGCAATATTTTGGTGTACACATTATTTTTAATTCATCGCATCGCATAATTGCAAGAATTGTACGCATTAATGAGCAGCGGTTGCGATATATAATATTTAACTGAAAAAGGAAACTTTGAATTGCAGACCTTCTTATACAAACAAATTAATCGAAATCGATTTACTCATATTTCTTGCTATAGCGTCGGAAAAATGTCGTCTTTCAGTTTTGTAAAATGTAAAGAAATTGGATATTTCTTACAAAACCGACCTTGGCTTCATAAGTCAGGATTTCATTGGAATTTGAGTAAAATATGGGCCGTAACTGTGGGGGCACACGCCCCCCCCCCAGCTCCGTTCGAATTATCAAATTTAAGATAAGGGGCGCGGCCGCGGGGGGGGGGGGAATGGAGTGGAAGGGTCATAGACTATGCACAGAGATCCATGATAGTTTTAGAATATAACAGAGAAGGTGTTTCGATCGTTTAACGCCCCCCTCTTGTTTTTCAGCGAGGGCCAGCTGCCCCCCCCCCTCCCCACGCCCGGCACTGGTGTACATTTGAATGTCGACAGTGGCGTACATATAGGGGTACAGTATTCCTCTTGCCCCCCTGGGAGTTCCAGGGGGGCCCTGCCCCCCCCTGGAAAATAAAAAATTTAAAGGAAACAAATTTAAAAAGTAACGGCCTGACATATTGACAAAGCTAGACTATACGGATTTGTCTAAATTAAATTCTTCTTCTTATCAATTAATTAAGGAACAAAAAATTGAACAAAAAATAAAGCAATATTATATTATATGTATAGAGCTACTTTTTCGTAGCACTCTCCAAGAATTTTGGAATAATTGTGATGGATTTACTTTTCAGCAAACAAACAAATGAAATTCCTTGATAAATGCTGGAAATATGTGGCCTAATTAGAATTAGAAATTTAGAATTTGGCCCAAATTTAGACTTTTCATCGTAAAATAAAACAAAAATGAAAAAATGAATTAGTGGTTTATGACTTTTCATTTAAAAGAAACAAAATTTAAAAAATTAGTGGTTTTTGACTTTTCATCTAAAAGAAACAAAATTTAAAAAAAATTTAAAAAACCAATTCTAAATTCACTGTTAACACAAAATTTTAAGATATTTTAAACTAAAACTTTTGCAAAAACGAGACCTCGACATATTAGATGCTTATAACATGATGTAAGCTGTAATAAAATATTCTATTTTCTATTGTTCTATTTTTTCTTACAGTCAATTAAGAAAGGAATTGAGTCTTTGGCACGAACTCAAATATTCAATCCTTTGGAACCATGATGTTGTAAACCTTTGATATTTCAAATTCAGAATATTTATTTTGTTCCAAAGATAGTGATTAGAAAATCAGAGTTTGTGGCAAGGACTCAATTCCTTTATTTCCATAAAGAGATATTAAGCGTAAATTCAAGTTCCCCTTTATGCAATGATGACAATAACATCGAATGAAGGAAAGAGAAGTTTTAGCCTTCTAAAGAGAATACTTCATTACACAAGATGTACTTTGACGGAGAGCAGACTTAACGATCTTGTACTTATGGCTCACTGCTGAGAAAATCATTGAAATATTTGTGCAAGCAAATCATAGAAAATTGAAGCTTTAAAGAGTTGGTGAATATGTAGATGGAGTAAATTCTATCTAAAATTTTCAGAAGAAATTTCGTTTATAGGTGAAAATATGATTTTTTAATGATGCTGTGATTATTGATTTAGTTTGCAGTGATGGAGTTAAGTGATAAATTTAAACATTACAAAGTTAAAAAGTTAGTTTTTCGAGCAAAGGAATAATTTTTAGACTCGTTAATGTTAGTAACACCCAAAAATGTAGTCTTTTTGATGTATTTTTATGGTGTTAATTGACTTTTTGAACAAAACAATTCCAAAAAAATCTTGCCCCCCCCCCCTGACTAAAATCCAATGTACGCGCTTCATGTCCGAGCTGGGCCAACCTTTGCAGTCCTACTAATTGGACTGCTTACTTACAATAACTAAAGCAGAGGAGTGCATATCCCTCCGCGTCTAAACCCTGACTCCCCCCGTTGATTTTAATCTTAATAATTTCAGGGGGCATGGGTACGGCACCCCCCCCCCTGGGCCATGGGGGGCCTCCGTGGGGAATGGGATGCAAGAGGATCAAGTAACCCACCCCCTGAATTCTCTGAAATCGCTAACTGGCAACAATTTTCATGTGGGAGCAAAAGCACTGCAAGTTTCTCTTTTTTTTGGGGGGGGGGGGG